GATTCCTACCTTCTCCTTTTTCTTTCTTTATGTTTTCTGCTATTCGAACCCCGGCCGCGTCATACCAAAAGACGTTAACAGACGGGAGTTGCTGCTACCTTGTTTGGCGTTCAACAATAAGGGATAAAGAAACGTCAATCTGGCGCTGCTCAGTGGCTGCCGGGCTTACGATCAATAATTGGGCAAAAAGAATTTCCATTTTCGGTTTAACTTAATAAAATTTGGAGTGGACTTTAAAAGATTATTATTATTATTATTATTATTATTATTATTATTATTTTCCTCTTGTCTCATATTTTCTTCTACCCTTCACCATGTATTACTTCAGTTTCTTTTTCAAACCTTCCCTTCCTATCTTTGCTCATGTTTTTTGTTTTTGTTTTTTGTCTTACTATCATCATTTCTATCTATATTTTTGTTTCTATCTTTTTTCTCTTCCCTCTTCCTTATTTCAATTTTGTGAGAATTACAGCAGTGATTATATGTTACAATTCAAAAAAGTAAGTAACAATAAATAAATGAAGATTTAATTTTTAATTTTAATTTTTACCACAAAGCTGAATTAAAGTCACATTTTCTGTCAAGTTCTGACCAAGGGAAAGTCCCTCAAGCGGATTTGAGGCTAGTCCAGATTCTGTCCGTTTTTATGTATTTTTTGTTATATTCTTCACTCATTTATATGTCCTTCTCCCTTACTCGAACCCCACACAGATCGTTCGACCACCGAAAATACACCCGTCGTTTGTGAGGGTGAGATCGAAAGGCAAGAGGGTGTGTTATTTTCTCAGCTGATTGGGCACGCGACATGGAAACGCTCAGGCACTGCACTAATTTTGAGGCACTCGATCCCAAACACTGAGTTCAGTGATCCCAAACCACGACTCCGTGATCGCGAGTGACCGACAGGTGGCGCGATAAAGAAATGATTGATAAAGAAATTGATAGAGCGAGCAGAATATAATTGTTTTAGATTTATATTTGTGGCACCAGGATTCATCTTAACCAAAAGGAAACAAGAATGGGGTATGTCCATTAAATTGGCAATTTCGCATTATATAAAAGACTGATCTCGATAACCAAAATCTCAGTAGATCAGACTCCCGGAAAGTATTTATTTCCAAAGTGTACCTTTAAAAAAAATATCATAATTTACAATTTACAAAGATTTAACTTGGGGCGTCTAACCTTTGATTTTAAGCATCCTATATTCATCCCGATTAATATTTGTTTAATTGCGTCCAGAAATTTCAAAAATCAAAATACCGTATTATACCCTTGGAAATCCACAAAGAAATACCTCATAAAACACGATCGCAACTATGTAATTTTTTTAATTAACTTAATCGGAATTTCACTGCCCTATTATTATATCCTAAAGAAATCATGTTCGGTATGCCTAATACCTCATTGCAATGTTCGCACATTTCAATAGGTGATGTACAGGGCTATTGAAATTGCATTAATTAAGGTGATTTTTCGAAAGTAGATGCGGTAGTATTTTATGAAGATAAGGAACTCGAAATTCATTTTAGTATTCGCTATGGATACGCCCATTTATGCGTGCCTGCCTACCTGAGATGATGGTATCTGATATGTATCTTATACTGACCCAGTATCAAACAAAATTCACCTTCCGCGACATACACAGATTTTGATCATGAAAAGTGCTTCATACCAAGTAATTTCAAATAATTATAAAGAAAACTTCCATTATCCTCTGAGGATTGTACGACACATGCTCCTGCGACAATAGTTGCTCAGAGGCAATTTCCTACACTAACCGAATACCAAACTTCAACCCTCGAGCTGCCTCGACCCAAGACTAAACCTACACCTATTTGCTAATCGAAAACCTAATATGAAAACCAGTTACAAACCTAACCCTTTACTTTTGATGAAAAACGCCGGCGCGATTGTTGTCGGGTGTTCCAAGGGTGAGTGCCCTAGATTTACAGTTAACAGGTATCTATATATATCTTCTGAACAGCAGCCTCAATTACATCATTTTAATTGTGCCTGTCCACTCAATCACTCATCTTCGCAAGATGAAAATGATATCATTTGACATCAAATAGAACCTCAAGAAAATCATAGTACATGTACTTTAGATATTGCACTATCAGGTTACAATATAAATTTGAACTGAATTGAATTATAAATTAGGGCTTTTGGATAATCAAGGAAAAATTTTAGAAGAAAAAAAACATATTTACATCCAGTCTATTTTGGTTTGGTATAGGCAAGTATTACACCCTCTTTCCCATGGACAACTTTTATACAATTTTATTTTTTGGTTAAGACACGCTGTAGCTAAATTAAGGCGAAATTGACCCTAACTTTTAGAGACTGTCTGACTCCCCATCCCGATGATTTTTTCTTCAGTTTTGGTGCATGTGCCTTATAATTTTCAGTCAAACTACAACCTACTGTCAAAGTTTAGAGTATGGACTATGGTGAAATGGACCCGACTTTGGGGTCCGTTTCGAGGACTCTCTACGTGGGCTTAATCCGACAGCTATGGTCAGGCTGACAAACTTGTTGTCAACTATTATTTGACACTTTACTACAATTCCTAAAGCCTTGAACAGAGCCTTGGTATATCTGGTTCTGGCTATGTCAAACAAGAGCAGCTTAAGTACAGAGCCTATTGTAGTGTCATATTGCAGACAGGCGCGTACACAGGGGGGGGGGGGGGGGGGTTAACCCCCCCTTTGGATTTTTTTTTTTATTAAAAAAAAAAAAAAAATTCCCATGGCTGACCTAAAAAAGCTGACCTTACCCCCCCCCCCCCCCCCCCCCCCCCCCAACGGAGCAAAATGTCAAATTTTCAAATTTCGAGACAAAAAAAAAAAAAGGTGTCCTCTTATTTTAAAGTCCAAAGAATTTATTCTAAATCCAAGGGGTACTTGGGACAAAGTACCCCTTGGATTTAAAATAAGTCCTAGAAATTAAGAGAGTAAACTTGGTTCAATTGTCCCATGCAGGGCGCGGGAACAATATTGTGTTTAGGCTAATTTTATACCCATTTTAGCTAGCGAGCGAAAATACATCTTTCTCTCAATGAATTGCTAAATAAAATTTGTTTCATTGTTGCAGGTCGGGGGCGGGCACAATCGTGTTTAATATGGTACATAAAACTTGGGTTCATTGTTCCATGTCAGGGACGTGATTATTAAAAGCGGTGTTATTTCTATTTTGGCGAACGAGCGTAGCGAGCGAGCAAAATTTTTGTAATGATAGTTGGTTCATAAATTTCAGATTTTGTTGTTGCAGGGCAGGGCTTACACAATCATGTCTAAGGTGATGTTAATTCCGTTTTGGCGAGCACGAGCACACCAAAACTTCTTTGAATAACGTTTGGTACATAATTATTAACTGGTTGTTGCAGGTTGGGGCGGGCACGTTAGCGGTGTCAATTCCATTTTGGCGAGCGAGCATAGCGAGCAAGCAAAAAAAAAAATCTTTTTTAATAGAAATTAATAAATAAACTTGTTTTTATTGGTGCAGGTCAGGTTGGACGCAATCGCGTTCAACGCGATTCAATTTCTTTTTGGCGAGAGGGCGAAAAAACTCTTCCATTTTTTATTATATTGTTGCAGGTCAAGGGTGGGCACAATTGTTTCCAAAGCAATGTCTATTCATTTTATTCGCGAGCGAGAAAAATGAATTAGTCTCTTTTAGTAACATTTGGTACATACATTGTGTGTTATTGTTGCCATTGTTGCAGGTCGGGGCCCGTCGGGGCAGGCACAATTGTATTCTAGGCAATGCTAATCCTTTTCTTTTTTCAGGGGGATGAGCAAGTGAAAACATTTAATACAAAATAGGCTAGCAAGCAGTTCGCGCCAGCGAAGAGTTTTGAATTTGTTATACCACTTATATTTTCCTATTTTCATTTGTCTTAATTTTGCTCCAGGGCCGTATGCGGAATATTTTTCTGGTGGGGGAGGGGGAAAGATGCGTCAAAAGTTTTCGAAGAATCTCAAAAGCAAAAGGAGTGAAGGGAGTTCGAGGGACCGAACTAGTCATGAGGGTACTTTTGCATTTTCAAAAGTAGAATTGAAGGATTTGGTATAGGCCTACACTACATTTTCAGGAAAAAAAACTGTACGTTTTCAAAATATCTGGGGTCAACTCCCCCCCCCCCCCCTGGTGCGTACGGCCATGGTCTTTCTTTTTTAATTTCCCCATTTTTTTTCATTTCCTTTTCTTTTCCCTTTTTCTTCCTTTTCTCATCTTCTTCTTCCTTTTTTCTTTCCTTTTCTCTTCTTCTTCCTTTTTTCTTTCTTTTTCCTTTTTTTCCTTTTTTCTCTTTCTTTCCCTTTTTTCTTCCCTTTTCCTTTTTTCTTTTTCTTTCCTTTCCTTTCTTTTCTTTTCTTTCCCCTTTTTCTTTTTTTCCCCTGGAGCCCGTCAGGGGGGCACTCTGCCCCTGCCCCCCCATAGGTACGCCAGTGAGGCTCCCACACTATACTGTGCCTTCGACTTTGGACTTCTTTTGTTCACAAGAGGGAATGTCATCTATTAAAAATCTTCAAGTCCCATACGATTCCGATCCGAACACTATCATTTGCGAGATTACATTTTTTTATAAAAACCTATTCAGTGGGCCGACAAAGAAGTTCGTGTATTTCATGTAGCAGTGCAGTAAAAGGGCTTGGCAGAGGCGTACGCAGGATTTTTTCAAGGGGGGGGGGGGGGTTTAAAATCGGGTCCAAAATTTCGCAACGACTCAGGAAAATTTGAAAATCGCGCCGGCCAAAAAGTCCAAAGGGGGGGGGGGGGGGTAGGGATTTTTTAGGGGGGTTTACACACATAAAAATACCAAAGGGGGGGTTTACCCCCCCCCCCCCCCAAAAAACCCCCCCCCCCCCCCCCCCCCCCCCCTGCGTACGCGCCTGGGGCTTGGTAATGAAACCCGTCAATATAGCTGCGTTCGCCATGCTTTTGTCCCGTATCGGTTTACGCATGGAGAAAATTTTTACAAAGAAGCAAATGAATCCTTGTCTAAATCTTCAATAGGATGAAACATCTACGCTTAGCTGTATTTTGACATTATAAATTAACTCTCTGGCAGACATTTAAGGCCGAGATCGGAAGGATTTTAAATCATTTTCCGGTTCAGTAGTGAGTACTTGCAAGTACGGCGAGGAAATATTTCGTCATTCTCTTTTTAGATTCATGGAGCATGAATATAATATCGATGGATTGAATGTTAAAGAGTGGATACGTTCTTTACAGCTGAAGACCGTGACTTTTCCGAGGTGGATTTATTCAAAACGTGTCTATAAGTATCATTTGATCCCTTTCTTATAGATCTTTACGGCCTGTATCATAGTTATTTCCAACTTTGCTTATATTGATTTGTATAGAGATGCGTAAGGTATATTTTTTCTGGTGTCCCATGCATGCATATATCTGTCAGGTTAATTTCACTAGGCTGAACATAAGAAGCTGAACATAAGAAGCTAATAAGCAGAGACAGCTAGAAATATGAAGCTTTTCGATGCAGTGAACAAGAATGACATCGAGAGAGTTAAGACTTTTCTTCAAAGCGTGCAGTCGAAGGTGACAGTAATAAACGATCCAAACTCGCGAGGAAAAACGGTCCTTCACATTGCTTCGGAAATGGGCTACCTAGAAATTGTAAAATATGTTACTGAAGAAGGAGCAGATCTTGAAAAGGGGGACCACAATGGTGATACACCTCTCCAAATGGCATCAGAGAATGGTCATCTTGATGTAGTTCAGTATCTTGTTGGTAAAGGAGCAGAGATTAAGAAGATTGGTTGTGCTGGTTGCAATGCACTAAACCATGCATCGCACGGTGGTCATCTTAACGTTGTTAAGTTTCTCGTTGACAAGGCAGCTCAGGTTCACATTGACAGAGCTATTCACAAGGCAGCATTCAAAGGTCATCTTGACGTTGTTCAATTTCTCATGCGTACTGGAGCAGATGTTGATATGAAATCTAAAACTGGTTGTACACCTCTTCACTCTGCATCATATAATGGTCATTTAAATGTAGTGATGTATCTCGTTAGTAAGGGTGCTGAGGTTAATAAGGTTGATAATGATGGTAACACAGCCCTTCATAAAGCATCATTCCATGGTCATTATGAAGTTGTGTGTTATCTCGTAAGTGATGCTGGAGCAGATATTGAGATGGCTGATATACCTAATCCAGCTCTTCACTTTGCATCAAGCAACGGTCATCTAGATGTAGTTAACTATCTCATTCTCAAAAGAGCTCGTGTTAACAGTATTGATAAAGATGGTTGCACATCTCTTCACAAGGCATCTATAAATAATCATCTTCATGTAGTTAAGTCTCTTGTTCGTAATGGAGCACAGGTTGAAAAGGCAAATCGTCGTGGAAAAACCCCTCTCCAAGAGGCATTGCGCAAGGGTCATCGTAACGTAGTTCAGTATTTGGCTCGTCACTTTGTATCACGCAATGGTCATCTGAAGGTAGTTAACTATCACATTCTCAAAAGAGCTCGTGCTAACAGTATTGATAAAGATGGTTGCACATCTCTTCACAAGGCATCTATGAATAATCATCTTCATGAAGTTAAGTCTCTTGTACGTAATGGAGCAAAGGTTGAAAAGGCAAAGCATCGTGGCAAGACCCCTCTCCAAGAGGCATTACGCAAGGGTCATCGTAACGTAGTTCAGTATTTAGGTGGCCGTGGGGCTAAGAATGACATGAATTTGTCTTATAGACATGGTAGAATACATCCCGGGGCACCACAGAATCTTCGTCTTGACCTAGTTCACCATCTTGCAAATGATGGAGCAGATGGGAGACCCCTAGACAATGCACCGAACCCTGGTCCTGTTGGTGATGTTCAGCAACCCGTTGGGAAAAGACGAAAGTTTGACAGAGGAGGAAAGTTTGACAGAGGAGGTAAGAGAGGATGATCTTTAATATAAGATCTGTCCTTATGACTCTGCAGTTGGTATGGGATCAAGGAGGAGCGTGATATTAGAATATAAACAACGGTTTGATGAGGTTAATATGACCGGGTTGCCAATTTGTTTCCATTTCGTACACGTTGTCTGATCTCTTTTGTAAACCTTTGTTTTAAATCTGCTTCTCAGATTTCTCTGGATTTTGATAGTCCAAATTAGGCAAATAATTCGGGACTACAGTAAAGTGACAGAATAATAACGGGTTAAGAAAGATGATGTGATAGGCATCATATTTACCAGCACGATCACAGAAGTCATGTTCGGATTACGTAATGATTATGACATTGTATTGATCGCATATTTTAAAGGTAACGAACAAGCTAGGCTATTGCCTTTCAGCACAAGTCCACTCCAAAAATAACTTACTTAGAAGCAGAAAAATCAGACAAACCAATCAAAAAAAGTTTGAGCAAAATCGGATAACTCATAAGAAAGTTATGATTTTTTGAAAAAGTAGGTAAAACTATGGAACAATGAGAATCACGACACAAATTGCCAAAATGGTTATCAGTTTTTGGCGTCATGTCCTCACTATTTATCAATTGCTTTATATAGTTTAATCCCATTAATTTCCTTTTTTATCCCCCGTATTTCCCCATGCCTTTGCCCAGGTTATATGATTTGTATCATATTGCGTGCATGACATTTAAAAAAAAATCGATTATGAACTTTAAAGAATTGATACTAGTTTCTGAATATTGCATATTCATAATTATTGATTTTTACATAAATAGTTTATCAAAATTCACATTTTTCATGATTTAACTGGGGAAAAATACTCTATATTAGTGCATCCACACAAAAACACATTACACATTACAGAAGAAATAAGATTCATAGGGAGAAAATAGGAAATTTATATTATCAATATAAAAAAAAAATTAGTGGATAGTGAGGACCTGACGTCACAGACTCATGAGTGAGTTGCCAATTTGTCTAGTGATTTTCAAAGTTTTTCATGTCATTAAAAATTCATAACTTCCTTATTAGTTATCTAATTTTGCCTAAACTTTTTTTTGGTTTGCCTGATTTTTCTGCTTCGATCTATTTGAAGTAAGTTATGTTTGGAGTGGACTTGGGCTTTAAAGGGATATACTTGAGTTCTGTTTTCAGACCGCAAATGCCTTCAAAGTGCATGGTTATTGCTCTTATTCTTATCTATGACATTTCTAGTGCCCTTTTAGGACCTAAAATTGCTATGAAGGTAATTTTAGACCCCATAATGTAGAAATTCAGCCAATACGATCATACCAATTCAGCTCCACTGACTTTCAGAAAAATACGGTGACCGTTAATAAATTATTTAATTAAACATAACACGGGCCGGCTGGTTGTGCATACTATAACCAACACGAAAAAGCCAACAAAAAAGCCAACATTTGGCTGAAATACAACGTAAAAGAGGCTATTTCGTTTTTCAATGGCTTTTCCAAACTATCGAATATTTGTGATGGTGGTACACAAATATCAGAAATGGTTATATTTACGGATATTTCAGCCGTCTCTGAACTGATTTTGATCAAACAAAGATGATTTTGTCATTTAAATTGTATGTCCTTTCAATTTTTACACTCAGTTTTTCATTGTCTCACAACAAAATTATTTTATGTAGCGCCCTCTGCAACAGAACTCAACTATCCCTGATTTTACAAAAGTAGTTGCCATCGTGTTATACCACTCTTTTTATTACTGCTGTGGTTATCAAAACGGCTGTTATTTTTGTTTTCATAATACATCAATAGACTAGACCGGTTTACTTACATATTCAAATGTTATGCATAATTTTTAAACGAAGGTTGTTCTTGACAACCAAAGGCTTGCCCAAGGCATGTCCGATAATGTATGCAGAGTTTGTAGACTGGATTCTAAATATAATTGTATAGTTCATTCATTAATAACAGATTAATGGAATGCCTCTTCACTATAGGTTCCCAGGAAAGAAACATCCATAAATATGAATATTTTTAAGTTAGTAGACCGGTCTTTACCATAAATATATAACGGTCGTCCATCTCAGTGGTGAAGTTTTTGTATCCCTATTTTTCTGTAGATGCAGGAAAGGTGACTGACGCCCATATCTGGAATCTTTCAAAGCAACTCAGTACGGGTCATTTCTACCCGATTTGTCTTGCTATTAAAAAAGGTTTCAACGAAGCTGACGCCATCTTAAAAAAGAACCAACTCGATTATTCTAAAACGTATAATGAACTTCTTCGCGCTTGGAGAGATCAATCCACAAGGAACTTAGGAAATCTGGACAATGTTTTGAGGAAAGCTGAAGCTGGAGGTCTCATACCAACGTACAAGAGGGTTCGTTCAATTTAATCGTAGGATGTAGCTTCATCGGCTGCAACAACTGAACCCAAAGGACTATGTGTGAACGGTGGACAGAGAACGGATGTGAGTTGTTCATTGATTCTCATAGGCCTACAAACACCAATACAGAGTATAAGAAGATACATGCTGTCGCGTATTATATGCCCCTCTCATATTGGGGTCGAAGGGCCTTGATCAAAATATTTGATGAACAGTGTCAGCATCTTTCAATCCGAACTCGGTATGGACCGAAATGATGGTTGAGTCCTGACCTCGAAAATATAAACGGTATTCCGAAAAACACTTTGGCCCGAATTCACAAAGGAGGTTTGTCGACAAACCTTGGTTTTCGTACGTCATATGACGCGTTTTACGCGTTTTTTACAAACCTGGTTTGTAAAGAACAAAAGGAGGTTTGGCGAAACAAAAGGAGGTTTGAGCTCAAACCTTGCTTTGTGAATTCGGGCCTATGAGATTGAGGTATCTACTCGGGAAGGCGTTGTACACACTATGAACATGACAGACAATGAACGCGGACAAAATATACAGTTCCCCAGGTAGACAAAGAGACATCCCTTCACTGCTATTATGTGAAAATGTGTAGAACAGGTGTCACATGCATATTCACCTGTTCTACACATTTTTACATAATAGCAGTGAAGGGATGTTCCTTTGTCTACCTGAGGAACTGTATATTTTGTCCGCTTTCATTGTCTGTCATGTTCATAGTGACATGTCGTTAAATTGCGAGCACGAACTCTTGGGCGTTGTGTGTAACAGTACTACATTAGGCTCTGTACTTTAGTCGCTTATTTGACACAGTCCGATACCGACATACCTAGGCTCTGCTGAAGGATTTAGGGGTTGTGGTACAGTGTCGATTTGGAGTCTGTGCTTACTGACGAGAGGCGTTGTACGTTTTGCAAGAAGGTGGAAGGGAGAAAGCAAAGATATTACTAGAGTAACCCAACAACTAACCAAAGATCCGGTGACAGATAATAAAAAAAAAAGAATGTAGAAACAATTGACTATATTTGTTACAGGAAAGTTAGCAGAAATGATTGTACCTATAAACAGAAATTGTGAGTCAAACCTTTTATATACATACACGTGTATGCTGACATTTGATCTCCTTTGACAGTATATTTTAGGTATACATGCATTATTTTGCATAATTCTTTTGAAATGTTGCTTCTTTTTTTGGGGGGGGGGGGGGGGGCTGTAAACACGATTATTATGTGTACCAATGTATTGAATTTGGATTTTAATCTACCGGATGCCATCAACTCTTATCTGTAGATATGCTTTATTCTAATTTTTAAATTCTTATCCATTTTATTAACATGAAAAGACTCCTGGTGCCATCTGAGTCGAGTATTTGATACTTTATTTAAATCATCATGATCAGATCTGAAGTAAAGTTTATGACCATACGTGTACATGTATAAGGCAAAAATGCGAAGTACAACGTGAGAGAAATGGCTATATCAACGTGTTGATAAATTATGCATGTACATAGTTACTATAGCATAGCTCCCTTTCGAGTTCATATGTATCTTTGATAACAATAGGTGCATTACCACGCATAAAGCACACGTTAAAATCTATAGATGCCGAAAACAAATCAATAGGCCTACACCTTTTGTCTTGGTGAGGACACGTAATGTATATGATTACTATATTACCATGCAGTGGTCGACGCATCGTTGGGTAGTTGTTTTCTGAGAGTATTTTGTAAATAGTTTTATATATTCCATATTTGTTGTTGTATTCATGAATAAGTTATCTTTGTCACATCATTATGAGGGGGCCTTAACTTAACAAGCTGTGCTTCAACCAAGGTCTCCTCGTCTTCCTTTATTCTACATTGTACTGTTATGATTATACTCTATTATATTTTGTCACATGTGTTTTCTGGAAGACAAATAAACTTGATACTTGATACTTGATACTTGATACTTATGTAACCCCCCCCCCCCCCTATCGCTCTCTCTCTCTCTCTCACATGCTCTTTTAATACACTGATATACAATTATGTAGCTTTATGATTTACCATTACGTATTGTTTAAGGTTCGGCCACATTTATGAGTGAGGTCTGGACTTTAATATGCAGGTTGTGTGTATAATATATTTCTATGTGTACATGAACGTTTGTATCATATTCTGTAATTTGTTGTATTTTGTATAAAGCAGTGGAAGAAGAATTTCCGAACAGGATGAAAAATGCTATAATATACTCTAACACACTATAGTGTGGGTATATAATACGAAATAAACCGAATCTGTAAATTTGCACACACACAAAATTGTATAAACTGTTAGTCGGACTGGCAAGATTAGGAAGAGATAACAAATCATTTCGCGCGTTTTCGGTACAATCGAAGCATAATATTAAAAAAGAATCTCTGTAAATGTTACTTTATTTCGTTATATCTAATCTCCCCTTCTCTCTCTCTCTCTCTCTATCTCTCTCTCTCTCTCTCTCCCTATCTCTCTCATGCCCTTTTAATACACACACAAAATTATGTATCTCTATGATTTACAATTACTTTCTGTTAAAGGTTTTACCATAATATATGAGTAATGTGTAAAGTAACATATACATGTACATGTATTATACTTCTTTGAATATTGTTATATGTATTCTGTCATTTATATAGTTTGTATAAAGCGGTGGAAGAAAAGATTCCAAAAAGGACGATAAATAGTATAATATACTCATATTTTGTATTGTTTTTATGTCACACATGATGCAATACAAACTTTTCTATTTGCTTTATCAATTGCTTTAAACATCAAGGAATATCACTGTACCCGTTAAGTTTGAACTCATGATACGAAATTTTACCATCATGTTGTTTTTTTAAAAACACCAAAAAATCGGCTATTAAAATTTCATCAGCAATACAAATCTTTTCCAATTTGTTTATGATTCGCTTTAAACATCAATTTTTTACCAGATTAAGTAACAAATAATTATCAATAAATCTAATTGTAAATTAGTCCATAAAATGCTTGTTAATATTATTGTTGTACAATTGCACATTCAATTTAAGTAGCACCATATGGTTATTTGACATCAAATGAACATATTTTAATTCACTCTAATGTATGATATTACAGTCATAATCACAAGTATTCCCCCAAGTCAATCACATAGATCGATATTTTATTCAACCACAATGTGTTGATATTAGTTAATTATGTAGATGGATTTAGACTCCTTTTTAATTTTATGTTTAAAAGTTGTGTTTTAGTTGTTCTGGATATACAAAATGAAATTGGTGATTTGGTGTGCACTATTATATTTCTACAAAAATGAAAATAATAATCATATTGATATTAACAATTGTAATAGTAATAATAAAACAATAATAATAATAACATTAATAATGGTAATAATAACATTAAAAATGATAATGAAAAGAGATGGGTACAATTTTATTTTTACCCGGCATTTGCTAAATATTGCATGACTTTGTACAACCATAAATTTCACGAACATGTATTCATACCATATTCACGAGTTTTGAAATCAAAATAGAATAATTAAATTAACCTGAAAAGAATAAAACCTGAGTCAAGAGTCCAATAATTAGTAATGCATTGACTAATAACCGCCCTGATCACCGAATATTGCTCTGATACGTGCGTTGCTGGGATTTGTCCATGTTTTGATGACGTCAGGGATTTTTTGGTTTATTTCCCGCCATAGTACTTCTGAAGCTATAGACATTGCGATCTGTTTAAATACAAATAAAAATGTATGGCAATTAGTTCGCCCTTGTGCGTGTGTATAAGTGTGGGTGTATGTTGGGTGTGTTTTGTGGTTCTACGCAACAGTCAATTTCCATCATGCTTCCAGTAATACGAAATTTAAAGGAGTTTATGATGAGAACTTAAGTTGTTACTGATGGATGAATTTGAAACTTCATTGAGTTCATTTTTGGATTTTACTCAAGGTTTTCATTTCATTTTACTTTTCCATCTCTTGTCATTATGATATTTAAATGTTCTTTTTCAAAAAAAGTTTTCAAACTAAATATTTCAAATCTGATATCATAACTAAAAACATAAAAAACATAAATAACATAAAATCATGAACTTGAATGTAAACTGGAACAAGGGTCCAACGCAATGTCAAAACCAAAAAGAAAACCAATCCAAATTATTAAAAAAAAAAAAGACTAACCTGACTTGGATGGAATCCATCGACTGGTTCGATTAGCTGCCATGTTTCTCCTCCCTTAGCATTCCAAATATCCACCACTGTATAATAAATAAAAAAATTATAATGGAGAAAAGAAAGCAAACAGAACATTTATTCAAACAGTTTCATTTTCCGATGATATTATACAAGTATGTATAAATATAGTATATGTTGGGTTGCGAGAGTGTGTGTGGGTGCTTGCATTCATGCGTGTGTGATTGTGGATGTGTCTGTGTGTGTGGATGAGTAACGTACTGAGGGAGGGAGGGAGGGAGGGAGGGAGAGAGGGGGCAGGGAGGAGCAGGACTTTGTTCCAATAAAATACTGACCTCCAGATTTGTTAAAGCTTTTTTTATATATATAGTGCGTCCCAGAAAAAAACGAAACCGAGAATTATCGATGTTTTATCATAACTCAATCACAATTATAATTAATAAATGACACATATTTGTAAAGCTTAGATCCTCCTCTTTCATTTGCTGCAACTCATATGGTACCAGGGGCGGTCGAGCGACTTCCAAAGTGGGGGGGCACCAACAAAAAAGGGCACTTTCTGAAGAAAAAAGGGCACCTACAGTGGGAAATCTCAAAGCGAAAATATACAATTTTTTTGACATTGGTACATACCCCTGCATTGTGATTACATTATCAGGGATGATTTCAATATTTGTTTCTCTTCATACATCATACAAGATATCGCTTAAGCATCATACTTTACAGTTGGGTGGGATGTCTGAATATGCATTTACGAGCTAGCGAAGCGAGCGAGAAAATTTTTAAAGATCTGCGAGGTCGCAGTGCGAAAAATTACATCTTATAAAGAGGAAAAAAACCAATCGTGATGGGGTTATAAGCACATTCTCATAACGGAAGACTGAAAAGACCTTTGATAACTTACATAATTATATCATCTTTAAATGTGAGCCAGCGCAGCGAGCGAACTTTGGGGGAAATTGCTCTTAGTCGCTTTAAATAAGGGGCATGTTTAATGATTTCATGAAAAGGGGACAATTATCGAAAGGGATAAGACACTCATTAGAACAGAAAAGGAGCACGTGTCAAAGTACAAAGGATAATTATAAGAGGTGAACATGAGGCATTTTTTTCACCTGAAAAGAGGCACTCACCTGATGAAAAAGAGGCGTTTACGAAAATGGGAAATAGGCATTTGTTGACGGAAAAAGGGCACCCATCAGATTTTGATAGGGGCACTTATAAGAGGTGAAAAGAGGCACTGACCAGATATGAAAAGGGGCACTTATGAAAATGTAAAAGGGGCACCTATAATAAAGGAAAATGTGCATTTGTTGAATGAAAAGGGGGCACCGTTCAAATTTAAAAAAAGGGCCGTTATGAGAAGGGGAGGGAGCTTTTTCTTTTTAATGGGTGCACTTATCATAAGGAAAAGGGGCACTTATTAGAAAGGGAAAGCGGTAGTTATGAGAAGGGGAAGGAGCTCTCTCTTTTTAATGGTGGCACTTATCATAAGGAAAAGGGGCACTTATTAGAAAATAAAAGGGGCACATGTTAAAATTAAAGGTGTGCTCATCCGAGTTTAAAAAAGGGGTAGTTATTAAAAGGAGAAGGGGCACTTCTTACAAAGGAAAAAAGGGGCAGTTGTCAAAGTAAAGGAGCACCTCTCAGTTTTGAATAGGGCAATTATCAGAGGTGAAGGGGGCACTTATCAAAAGTGAAAAGGGGCACTTCTCGTACCTGAAAAGAGGCACTTACTAGAGATTAAAAAGGGCACTTATTAAAGATAATTTCAAGATTTATAAGAATGGAAAATGGACACTTATTGCAAAGGAAAATGGGAACGTGTCGAAGGAAAAGGGGCACGTGTCAAAAATAAAAGGGCACTCGTCAGAGGTGAAAAGGGGGGAAGGGGCAATTTTATTTAGTAATAGGGGCACTTGTCAAAGTAAAAGGGGCACTTTTCCTATGTAAAAAGGGGCACTTTTGGGGTATCTGAAAAAGTGGGGGGGCACTGTGCCCCCCTGCCCCCCCGGGAGAACCGCCTCTGTATGGTACACATTTCACGCATTAGTGATTAAAAAGAATTTTAGAAAGGGTACCAAAAAGTCATTAGGCGAACGGTATCTGAATTTCAGAGAGAAAATCACATTTCTAAAGAGTTCACGTTCTGCCCTTTCATATGACACCTCTATCAGGAAAATGAGCCTCATGGCAAAGCTCTGTTTGTGTAAAGTAATGCTTGCATTTTCATAATTGTATTAAACGAATCCGCTCCACTGGCTGTCTGCCCTAACAACAAAAAAGACGAAAGACTTCATGCATGGCTGATCGTCAACGAAACAGAGATTGTTGTTTGTTGCTTCAGTCGTTTAATAAAATTATAGAAATATCAACGAATGTGATACTAACAAGATAACATGGAAATCAACGATAAGGGCTGAAATTTTTTGAACCGACACCTGGACTCAGAGTAGAAATTTACACTTAATCTCACTGATCTATCAATATCCTGTTTTATCTTAACAAATTAATCGAATTTTAGAAAAGAAAAAAATAGTTTGATACCTTTTTGAAAATCGAATTCGATGAAGTGAACTTCGAAATTATTAGCTTTGTAAGTGGCGGCCACCTGCTCTACAGCTCGACTCAAATTTGCGGCCCTCTGAAATGTAATAACATGATAAATGATCAGAAACAAAAAGAAAGAAAAAAATTGAGATAGGCAACATGAAATATAAAATACCATGAATACAGATTATACGAAAGAACATGAAATGATAAAAAGAGATGATACAGTTAACAATTAAACTTATTCATAGGCCTACCATTATCTAGTTTTGTAATTTTCAAAGTTTGTGAAAAAAGATTTTTCCCCATTTTTGTTTCTTGATAATGTGACCTTCTAAAGCTTACATCTAAAAGTATACGATCCAGGCGCGCCGGAAGCAGTTTGGAATTGGGGGGGGGGGGGGCAAACATTCCAGGGGGCTCACCTTCCAGGGGGCAGCGACGTAACTAGCAAAAACGTTTGGAAGGGGGGGGGCAGAAGAAAAATCTGCATCACCACCACTCTTGCACGTTACATGCAAGCCCAACGGAACGTTCAAAGTGGATTATTAATGATCGGGTAGAGCGTAAATTGGCGTGGGGTCCAGTGCCTAAGCCCCGGCAGGGGGTCAAGGGGCTGAGCCCCCAGAAGCTCAGGGGTTTTAGGCATTAAAATTACGGTCAGATAAGCATATTTATTTGTGACACTGGCAAGCCACTAAATGGCGGAGAGTCCAGGGGGCAGAGCCCCCGGAAGCTCGGGGGTTTAGGTATTTAATAACGGTCAGATGAGCATACAGGGGACCGCCTTTGGGCCCTTGGTGGGGTACGGGGGCGGAGCCCCGTAAGCTCTGGGGTTTTAGGCATTTAATTACGTTCAGATGAGCATATTTTGAAACCTCATTGGTGACTTTGGCAGGTCACTTATTTTTTCTCTCTCTCTTTCTTTCTTTTTCTCTGTAACAAACTTTTTCTAAAAGTGAGGCAGCCGTCCTGCAGACCCTGACATAAAGGCTTCTAAAGAAGCATATTTTTCGCCCGACTGTAAATTTGGGAATTTCTTATTTTCCAACAAACGCATAAAATGGTATGACTTTAAAAAAATGAGAAAAAATACCGGAAAATCATGTAATTTCAGCAACATTTGTAAATCACTGGTATCGAATAAAAAATACCCCCCCCCTCCTCCATCAGTACGCCAGCGTTCAGGGGCTCATGTCTTCTCACCCCTATAACAAAAAAGCAGACACGCTTTCCCATTCTCTCACAATATGTCCACGACATGCGCGTATCGCTATTATAAAAAAACCTCCCTTGATAATATAGGTAGCATGCGCAATGTATAGGAAATTTAATTACTGTTAACTTTCCTTTTCTTTGAATGGAATTTTATACGTCATTTAATTCAGGTTTTTATTATTGTTATGTTCTTTTGGGTTAAAAATACAAACCATCTTTACTCCTCTACTGCTTTTTTTTTTGGGGGGGGGGGGCCCTGCCACCCCACTTCCGGCGCCTATGAATATTACGATCTATTTACTTTTCGTAAAAAGAAGGGCCATGCTTTGAGTTACAATTGGGACAATGCCCATCATTACTTATTTGAGGAAGAAAAAGTAAGTCTTTTGAGGATTATATGCATACACTTCGTGCAATTCTTGACTCACAGTGATTCCTAACTGATTCTACTAATGTGGCAGCATTTTTTTTTTTTTTTTTGGAATAGGCCAGTTTCGTAATGTAACCAAATTTAATGCATACGTCTTTGTGAAGTGCCTCAATGCAAATTATTTCATTCACCTGATAGGAATAATAGTATTTCAATAGTCAGAATGCAACTGCATATATTAAGTGTTGTTAGGTAGGTCAAGCCATGTTTGTCCAACCTGGCAACAACTACTGTATGCAGTTCGGGTTCTGTCTATTGAAATACTATTATTCTTATCAGGTGAATAAAATAATTTGTATTGAGGCACTCTACAAAGACTTATGCATTAAATTTGGTTACAATACGAAAATGGCCTATTGTATCAGGAGGGGAAAGTTGCCGCCCCCCCCCCCCCCCTCCCCATAACCTTGCCCTCCTTGTTATACGCCCGTGACGTCATTACTGTACATTGTATACCTCTGAGGTGTAGTTGCGTAGCGACTCGTTCGAGGACAGCCATCCTATGCAAGGCGAAACTTCGAGGCAATCCAAGTAGTTGTATACATCCGGGTATTTGATGTTGTGATGCCATTCGCCGATAGGATGTACTCGATTCTTGAGGGTATCGTACAGTATTCGACCGTCTGCAAGACCGGTCACGATCACGTAGCTCCCGTTCGGGAGTTTGGTGTCCTGTACCGAGAGAGAAAGGGAAATAGAGGGAAGGAGAGGGAAAGGGAAAGAGAGAGAAAGAGAGAGAGAGAGAGAGAGAGAGAGAAAGGGGAGAGGAGACATAGAGAGAGAGGAGAGAGAGAGAGAGGGGGAGAGAGAAAGAGAGAGAGAGAGAGAGAAAGAGAGAGAGAGAGGGAATGGGAGGGGGAGAAGGGAGTATAGAAAGAAACAGCAGAGTAGGAAACAGAAGAAGAACAACATTGAAAAATCGCAACCATTTTTTACACCAATTTAGAAAGCTGAACATTGAAGTGGCAGCCGCCATTCCAGGAGACCATAATACAGAATAAAAATTGTAATTTCATTTTCAAAACATAATTTATCATTAATTATTATCCAGCATACTTTACATACTTAACTTATAATTAGCATACTATTATTAAGCATAAATCTATTATATTAAATAGTTAATGTCCCCGCTTCCGATAAGTGATCGGGACAGTCACCCAATTATCTGATTAAACAAGACTTTGTATCATCTCTGGTTATGCTCTAAAATGGCCCCCAACCAGGATGGACGATACATTACATACAGGGCTCCCAGAAGTCATAGAAACCGAACCGGGCTATAGGTGGATTTCCCGTTTTGTACAATAATTTATAAAAATATTTTGAAATAATGATTTGAAAGACTCCATCAGCTCATCTAGCCTTTGGGATGGTGAGGACCGGGGGTGAGGACCACTTTTTTTTTTCTGATACAGGAGCGGACCTTGCATGCCCATGCCGGCATGCCTATGCCTAATTGAAAGGGGGGGGGGGGGGGGGGGGGGGGAGGTGGACAAATTGGTATATGAATTACTTTTTAAAATAGTGATTTCAGAAATGGTTAAATCTGTGTTGTGGAATTGAGTGACTGAACAAATGACCAAATTAATGCATAAATAGGCAAATGCATGAAACGAAGATGAAGAATAACATTAAATAACTAATAAAAATGACTAGACAATAGCATGGGATGAAGATAAGACGTGTCATACACAGTATTACATTTCCCTTTCGGTTTCTTACCAAATACTTCAGTGTTGATATAAAGTTTTTCGCCATTTCTTCCGGAGTGGTCATATGATTGATCGTGTCATTATGTCTTGATGAAAAATAAAAGAGGAAAGTGCCTTTTTTAGTTATACAAACAAGAATCTTCTTACAGCAGTATAATAATTATATCAGAGTAACAAAAATAAGAGGAAAACGTTATTCGATTGTTAAACAAGATTCTTCTTGCAAGCGTATATTATACATCAAGAGTCAGACAGCATTTAAACCACAACACGCTGATACCGCTTACGATATATATGGATTAATTAAGCCTAATGATAGAATAAGTGTAGATATTGAGATATACCACTAGACTAATTCAGTATTAATACATCCACGTTTTATCACATCAGCACTGGTGAGGAAAAGTCGACAGAAAAGACCAATGTATAATAAGAATATTTAATTCACTTAATTGAAACTAATTAATGCTCTAATAAGTTGGTGCATAGATGGTTGTACATTTGTATGTTTGTTTACTTCTAGAGTTAAAGAGGAAAATTGTCTTCCTGGGAGAACCTCAATATTTAAACTTTCTTTTCAAATGGTCCTGAATTATTATTTTTTTTTAATTGTAACCTAGAGACTGAATTGTAGACAATTCATTCATGGTGCACATTATGCAAAATAAATAGGTAACACGTGACATACCCATTACAGACGTCATTACCAATCAGGCTATAGATTAACATGGCGGGGTGGTCACGTGACTGATCACGTGACATTCTGTGTAGAAGAAAAGTAATCGCACGAACAACGTTTTCAAATACATGGCTTCAACATGTTTAAACAAAATATATATTCAATGATTTCAGTAAAACTTACCAAATTTCTTTATAACTCAAATTAAGTTGTCTTTTAATATTGTAAGAATGGTAGACATCTCGGAGCTTTTAAATTGCAAACGTTACAAGAATTATAATGTTTTTTCAGTAAATATATTCTTACACTTTTGATGGAAAGAACTTAGCCTTGGAGTGAGATAGCGGTGCAAAATCTCAAATGACTCTCACATTCGTAAAGCAAGAATGACATTTCAATTAGGCAATCGACAGTTATGGTTAATTTCATTCAGACGATGAAATATATTTCATTCCAACAAGGTCTCAAATGCGAGCAACAGTGACTAAAGTTGAATGATGTTGAAACGATTGTTTTTATAGTAACATTTAGGTTTCCAAAGCCTGAAATATTCTTTGCCAGATAGGAGAAACTTTGCACATAAAAAAATGGTTCTAGCGATGGCCCTAATTTTAAACTTCTGCGATGTTTTTCTGACCATACCCGTATTGATCCGTGCTATTCATGTTGCCGCTATCAGCTCCTGCAAGTGATAAGAAAAAAATATCAGAATGAAAAACATCAAGAGTTTCATAGTAATCATGATTTTCACAAACGCAATATCCTTTTTTTAAAACATGTTTTTCAGCTTTTTATTATGAACAGTAAGCTTCACATTTTGTTCTATATATTTTGAACAGTAAGTTTATCATCTATCCTACTTCTTTTCTTGTAATTTCTTGTAATTGCCTCTGAACTTTGTTGATATTTTAAGGTGCGAAAAGAGCTTTACCGACATTTCTCAATTATGAAATTGGTTGAATGGTATATCCCGGAAATCTCCTCATCACGTTGTCAGTGAGTAAGTTTGTTCTCATTTATGCGATTTTTTACATTCTTACATTTTTATTTTTCTCTTCTTTCTTTGATCCTTAAATATGATAAGAACTGCTTTCGAAAAATCAACATAATACAATATCACAAGCCTTGTGCGCCACCTATTGAAATGTGCAAACATGACAATAATGTATACGTAATCTGAACATGATTTCTACTGGACATACAATAGGAAGTCGAAGTTGCCCTTGAGTAGATTTTTTTCGAAAAAAAGTTCCGATTGTGTTATTATTTCCCTTTTCTCTTTCTTTTCTCTTTCTCTCTTATATGCCCCTCTCGTGTTTCCAGATCTACTCTTTACCCCTTTCTCTTTATGTCAATATCGAGTCATATGTATCTCTTCCAGGGCGCATATATTTATAAAACCTTACTAAGATACTTGTCGACTAATTACACAGACTATAGTACATAGTTAGTTGGCAACTCGTAGGCCAAGAAGTGATTTACGAATATGAATATGATCCCAGGTCTGTTTTCTCTTTTTGCATTGGATTAATGAGTTTCCTTCTATCCCGAATTCTCATAATATCTAAGAATTTACCCCGACTTCATAAC